CCCCTTGAGGAACACACGCTTTGGGCTTTCACCCCAAGCCTCCCTTAGTATCAGGAGTTAGTCTCTGGGACAAGCTCGAAACTTACTAAATATGGAATGTCCCTAGATTGTGAATTTGGACACGGGACGAACACCATTGTGTTTAGGCCAACCTCTACATTCCGTAGATATGCCAAATGAGCAAATCTGGACACTTTCCATAATTAGCATTTGGGACCGAAATGAGACTAACACAAAGGGCATGATAGCGAGGGTGTTTGGCAGACACGGTAAGCTATCATGTAGCGATATTGAGGGACCAATCTCAATACGCGAGGGTTCTTGTCACTAGCCAGTGCAAGACATAACGAGACGGGAACTCCTTACCGGGCTAAGTATGCTTAGCTAATAACACGTAGGAATTCCGTCCTTATGCTCGTCTGGTCTAAGTACACTCGAAATGCCCAGTTAACTCCACTAGCACAAGAGGGACTAATAAAGGGTCCAGCAATACCGACTTCCTGCCATCGTGGCAGTAAGGTAAGAGTGTCCGTAAGGACTAGTCGACAGGTAACTTTTGATACCCGAAGTCACATGCGCGACACAGCCGGAGTACGTAGAGCAGATTCGGGAGGGGTACGCACAAGATGTGGCCCTTCAACAGATTCTAGAGCGGCTTCAGAATGGGGAGCAACATCCCAAGCTGGTCCTCATTGATGGCATTCTCTGGTCAAAGGGACGAGTGTTTCTCAACAACAAGCATCCACTGCGGCAAGAAATTTTCCGTGAGTGTCATCAGGGAATTCTTGCTGGACATCCCGGGGTGGCAGCAACATTGGCGGCCATCAAGCTTCGCTTTGTTTGGAAAGGCATGCAGCGAGAAGTGAAGGCGTGGATTCAAGAATGTCCGGTATGTCAAGTGGTAAAGACAGAGACAGTGGCTTCTCCAGGTCTTCTCCAGCCGTTACCAGTTGCAAATGGTCCCTTTACTAGCATTTCCATGGACTTTGTGGGGGGTCTGCCTCGTTGCCAAGGAAAAGACATGATAATGGTGGTGGTTGACCGTTTCAGCAAGACAGCTCGGTTTCTGCCTACGACAAGTTCAGTGTCTGCAGCAGGGATAGCCGAGTTGTTTTCTCGAGAAGTGATTTGCCTCCATGGTCTGCCTCGGGAGATTGTTTCTGACCGGGATCCGAAGTTCCTCAGCTCATTCTGGCGTCACCTTTTTTCAGCTCTTGGGACCAAGCTCAGTTTCAGTTCAGCATATCATCCCCAATCGGATGGGCAGACAGAACGAACCAACTAGACAATGGAGGTATTTCTCAGGGGTTACACACTGGATCGTCCTACATCATGGCTGCACTGGCTTGAATTCGCATATAATTCGGCCTGTCATTCTGCTACAGGGTTTGCTCCTTTGGAGATTCTCTATGGGCGTCGAATCCTAAGTTGGCCAGCTCCTGCTCTTCCGGTCCCAGAGGTGACAGTTTCTGGACATCTAGAGACCATTCGGGAGTTGCATCAACAAGTTCATAGCAGGTTGGAGGCAGCTCGTGCAACCATGAAACTTCAAGCTGACAAGCATCGGAGTTTTCGAACATTCGCTATTGGCGACCTGGTGTACATCAAGTTCCGCCCCCATCGTCACACTCTAGGCCGTCGAGCGGGCTCTCGATCCAAGCTGACTCAACGCTACTTCGGTCCTTTTCAGGTGATTGAAAGGATTAATGAGGTGGCATTTCGGCTGGCTCTTCCTCAAGGGTGCAAGCTCCATGATGTGTTCCACGTTTCTGAGCTCAAGTTGCATTATGGTCCTACTCCCATGCCGACAGTGGAAGTTCCAGTCCGATCGTTGGGGGACCAGCATCTGGTTGTGCCAGATAAGGTGATCGATGTGGAGACTCGTCAGCTGCGTCGACGTACGATTAAGCATTATCTGGTTCGCTGGATGAACACTGGGGGGGATGCAGATACCTGGCTTTCTCAACAGGAGTTTGATCGTCTGGTGCACCTGTTTCAGTGGGATCCTATGTTACCAGCCAGCTCTAAGGATAGAGCTTTTCAAAGTGGGGGGTAATGTTATGAGCTATTCTTGGCTCATAACTAGTACGGATGCGGGACGACGGGGGGATCCGTACGAGACATATATGGTTCGACTGGCACAAAGGGGGAGGCTAGGTTTTTGTTGTTCTCTTCTTCTTCTTCCAGGCTTTGAGCCTTTTCTCTTCTCTTGTTTCTCATGTGAATCACTCATTAATGGATCACAACCTTTTTGATTGAATTCACATCCTAACAAAAAGACTTCGGAAACGAACACCAAATTGCATCACCGACTCAGATGGCCCTTGGCAAAGACGATGCAATTGTTGGAAGGCATCATCACAATCGTCGGCGTGTCCGAAGGCATGTTTGAAGACGTCCGGAAGAACAAGTGGCTGCGCTCAATCCATTGTACCACTACAATGCCGTCCCTTGGAGACATATGGGGAACTCACGCAAACGTCGAGCATTATCCCAAGAATGATATGTGGCAACCACTGTGAAGTGATTGAACTAATGGTACACATCATCCCTAGGATTCCCACGAAAGAACTCCGGCCGAACGCGAGGATTGGCACCAAGAGCAGAAGGAATTGTACCATGTGCTGTGAACGCCGCCATCAACTGAGTTTGGTTGTTCAATTGCAAGCGCATAGCATCAAGCAATTGAACCAACTGTTGCTCTAAAGTCAAAGGAGGAGATGGCGGATTGGCCATAAAGATGAACGCAAAAGAAAGAGCAAAAGAAGAGAAATAACAAAAAGCTGAAAAGAAATGGTAAATCTAGACAATGCAAAAAGCTAGATCTAAACCAAAATTCTGAAAGGAAAGAACAAAAGAAAGGAAATGGAAAAAGCTAGATTTAGACAATGCAAAAGCTAGATCTAAACTGAAATCCCAAATCCAAGCACTCCCTAGAGACAATCAAAGGTGCCCCTCAACTCCACCAATGTGAGTGTTTGGAATATAGAAAGGGAATATAGAAATGTGCATATTAATTAGCCCAAAAACCCTAGCTTATATATAGGAGCAAGTGGTCCGAATTGAAACCAATCCAACGGCTACCAAAATCCCATTACGCTAATATTAGTATACGGCATCGTAGCCGTACACTTGGCCCTCACATAGAGAATTATGAAATTATTAAGTTCGCCATAACCTTAAAATTTTAAAGTTTATAATGTTTGTACTAAATTACAATTGAAAATTGAGCTCAACTTGTGAGCTCAAGTATGGTCCGCGCCCCTGGGATTGAATGCCATGATCAAAAGCTCATCCTCTTGCTTGAGGATCATTATGGCTCTTTATCCAACCCCTGTGCAAAGTGATCATTGTAGAATTTGGCATTAGAGATGAGATCCCTCCTTTTGAAGTTTTAGATATATGACTTTGAGATTGTTTATTGCTTAAAGAGTTTTATGGTTGATGCTAATGCTTTTTTTCAAGTTTTTCTCCCTTCTTTACTATCTTTTTATGTTTATTACGAGTTTGTTTTTCTAACATTTATGGATTTTTTAGATGAGGATTTCATGTTGTTAGTGGTTGTTATATTTGATGTTCAGTGTTCATAAAGTGTAAAGCAAAATTTACCTTCTCTTGATGAGGTTCATGAGGCTCAAAAAGTTAAGCCACATATCTAAAAGCATTGCAATAGATTTGAGAATTTTACATCATTTGTTGATGACTTGCCATTTCAGCATTTACATTCTCAATATTGCTTTAAGAATAATTATTTTTATTTTGAGAGGACAAATCCTGATAATCATTTACTGCTAATCAAACCTTCAATATTTATTCCACCCTTTTTCCACACCTACCATGATTCTTCTATTCTACGTAAATATATAAGACATCATTGTATGACTGAGAAGTTGCATAAATTCTTTTATTGGCTAGAAATGTCAACCACAAACTATAAAATTTGACAATTGAAGTAGCAATCATCAATAGAGTAAGAGACAAATTTTACAGTTGAAGTGGCGATCATCAATAGAGTAAGAGGCGGCAATAGTGTTGCTTATCCCTGGCCTGGACAACAATGCCACTTACTAATGCCTCCTGCAAGTGTCACTCTCATCCCATGAGCAGATGTACCAAGTGAGCTGAGCATGGAGGAATCTCATCTCCAGTGCCAAGTTCTATGATGATCACTCCACCCAGGGATTGGACAAGGAATTGCTTGTTGCCACGGTGTTGCTTAGGGACGAGCTTTCAATCATTGCGTTCAATCCAGTAGTGAATGGATGATATTACCTCCTCCTCCTTGTAGGGCTTCATGCTCGACACCAGGAGAGGATTCAAGTGCAGGGCCATCGGCAGCAAGCTCTATCTTCTTGGGAGATGGGGCCGCAACAAATCAGTGAGCATCTTCAATGCACACACAAATTGATGGAGCATCACGGCGCCAATGCTGCATCGACGAAAGTGCTATGTGTCCGCGGCTATGGAGGGTCAGCTCTACATCGTGGGTGGCAACAGTATGGGGGAGGAACCAGATGCTGAGGTATACAAACCAGTGGAGGATCGATGGGATCCTCTCCCCCTTCCACCATCGCTGGAAAACAGATTTCACAACGCCCTCCTCGTCGATGACAGCAAGATGGTTGTGACCTTGTGCTGTGGTGGCCCGACGTTTGTTTTCTCAGCTCGAGATCTTTCCTGGGAAGTGGCGGACCTCCTTGGATTGCAGGAGCGGCACTGCTGCTTTGTGCACTCCAACCAGATGTACAAGTTTGACAAGGCGGGATCATTGTTGTTGAGATACGACAATGGCAAGAAGTCGTGGGAGGCAAGACCACGTCACGTTTTTATGTGAAAACATGCAGTCACTGATCCTTCTATTGACTTTTTTGATACGATCTTTCTCTGAAATTCGGGGAATGTGATCAATTGAGATCACATTTCTGAGGTAAATCAGAACACCTTTTTGACTTGTATATGAATTCTTTCCGGCTTGGAGGGTTTTTGACTTCGAGGTCATGATGGAGGAAGAGGGCTACAGGTCGCAAATGACAACGGGCAGCTTGATTCCGCTGCTGCAGAAGGCCCTTTTGCAACACCAAGTAAGAATTGAACCACTTCCAGTTGCGGCTCCTGTTTTGCAGCTGGACGATCCTGCGCTGAGTTACCTTTCCAAGATGCTTTTAGGCGGGGATAGTGATAGTGACGAGCAGGAGGTTGCAACCCCGCAGCAGAACAGATACCAGGCTTACATGGACGACCTGAATTCCATCATAAGAGGTTGCGTCCAGTCTCCGGACAGTGATCAAGAACAGGTCGACCAGGAAGTATTTAGCTTGCTCAGAGAGTGCGCAAGAGCAGTAGCAGCCAGGAACTCGGCACAGGTTTACAATCTCATCGGATTGATCAAGAACTCAGTGACATCCGAAAACAGCCACTTAGAAAGGACCGCATTGTTCTTCGTCAACGCACTGGTAGCAAGGCTTAAAGGGTGTGGTTCACAGCTCTACTCGGCTCTGTCCAGAGAGGTTTCTCAGAAGCGCTACGTGGGGCTTTTGTGCATGAACCTCCCGTGGTTCAGCGCCACCGAGGTGATCTCGAATCACATAATTCTCGAGGCGTGCAAGGGAGCCAAGCGGATTCATATTGTGGACTACGGGATACTGTATGGCAGTCAGTGGCCGTGGCTTATCCGAGCTTTATCTCAGCAACCCGAGGGAGCTCCACTGCTGAGGATGACAGGAATCGACTCGTCTGGGATGATAGATGGTGCACAGA